CAGAACAAGGTGCGTTTCCTATAAGTCTTCCTACCAATATGACCAAGTTGCGAAAACAAGGTCAAACAAACTCCCGCGCCATTCCTCGCATCACTTTAAACGACCCAGGATTACGGAGTTTCTATGCAAGAACTATTAATCTTTTCGAAACACATTCATGCCGAGAATGAGAAAAGGATTACAACTTACAACCTCTTCCGGTCGCGTCGTGTCGACTAGACCCAAGCATCAGAGCTGTGCATTTTCCTGCGCAACCAAAAGACCATGCGACGCTGTTTCTGAGATATTCCGAGGGTTCTTCTTTGTCGGCAAACTCCGTTCATGTCCTACCAACATTTTTGCCGCCTCCAGGATGCCCCGTGTGGGGGTGATAGAAGCGGGCTCAGCTGGTCCAGATCTCGACATGACAACTTTCGAGGTCATGTCCTCGTGACGATGAAGGATAAGGAAATTTCGGGGCACCATCGGGACTGGTAGGAGGGGCCAGTCCATAAAATGAAATATCTTCTCTTCCACTGCTCCGAGGCTTGGAGTTGATGCATCAAACCAGCTGAAGAGGGTTTCAATCTCAGCTAAGGCTAAATATGTCTACTTCAGGCCAGACCGAACCAGGTTTCTGAAACTTCCCTTTGCGAGCTTGGTACGAGTGCATTTAAACACGTACCGTGAGACGGCTGTGTCGTAAATGGGCTCAGCAATGCTGGTGGACTCGTGTTAAAACGATTACGGAAAGGAGGAACGAAAGCGAATTCATGACCCTCCTGGTTGCCGGCATTCTGGAGGAGGTCTCCCATTTGAAAAGACACGATGACTGGGATTTCTATCATAGGACATCAGAGGATTTCCTTGAACTTGTAACTTCTCGATTGTATCGAGAAGATTTAAGCTCACCGTCCTGCGACACTGAAGAATCCGCAATGAGGTTTCGTCCGTCATTTGACGGACATTGTCAGAGTCAGGAATCATCATTCACGAAAGCTCACCCAAAACATCCTTTATTGTTTAAGTGTGTTTTTTGTGCGAGATAGGATTAAAATGGTGAAAGGCACCTGTATCCTGATTGCCATAGCTTCTCTTGATGGGGCCGTTCATGAGGATAAGTGCTCAAGTGTGATGTAAACGGTGGCGAGATCGAGGGCTGATAGAAGTCGGAAGAAGTAGACGAGTTGGGATCAGAAAGCGCTGCAGCAATGGCTTGAATGAGCACTTGACGGTGTTGGACAAAACAATGGTACCCAGAAGTGGGTTGACCTCGTTCTCGCAACTTGGTCTTGTTGTCAGGGCGACTTAGTAGAACGCATCTGGTCCGAAGTCGTCTGGCCTAGTGGTTGTCATAATTCCCAGCATCAGACAGTGGACTTGGTACATTCTGAAAAGTCCACTGTCTCATGCTGGGAATCATGACAACTACTTCGGACCAGATGCGTTCTACTAAGTTGCCCTGACAACAAGACCAAGTTGCGAGAACGAGGTCAACCCACTTTTATAAATCGAAAGGAGACTGTGACCATACCAGAGGCCACACCATCTTGCTCTTCATATCTTCAATGACACCTAGAGTGATAGATAGACGAATCAGCAATATGAACGGGATCAAAGGATGAGTATGCAGAGCTGGGAGTCTGCAATAAACCGGGATGGGGAGATATTGCGGACTCGTTGAAAAGAAAATCAGCCAATTTGTCATCATGACGAGCTGTAGCTCGGTGCTAGGACCTTTGCTTCTCATCGACGATTCTAGAAAAAAGTCCGGAGATTATTATGACCACTTCTGTGGAGGCGAACCAACACCAGCTGCTTGCACCACCGTCTTCCTCTCGCCACGACCAACTTGGCGAAGACGAGATCAGACAACTGTCAAACCCATGAAACGAGAGTACAGCCAAAACGACGCCTACAGCAACGTGGTCGTTCAAGTCATGCGCCCTAACGACCTCTTTGTGGTGTCTGGGCCTTCTGGATCACGTGAGGTGATCGAGTCATGTTGCCGAGGCGTTCAGTCGGCCCTGCTGACTAGCCTGTGGCATATTGACGTGTTGCACGCCTGTTGGCGGTGGCAACCAGAATAGGGGCGGGACTGGAACAGGGCTCCATAGGCCGGAGGCACCTCGGGTTGCAGCTCCAGTGACCCCCTGTGCATGATACATGTCGACGCCGGTGTGGGCGTGCCCCTGTCGTTAGGGCTCCAGGTTAGTCCGCCCTTTCGGGGCGTATGCAAGAGGAGGTGGGGCGCGATCGGCCATTCGAGGAGAAGGGGTGGGCGCGTTGGGGTGTCAAGTCGAGGGGAGTGTAATGCGATATGGGCATTCACGCCCAGAAGGCCATCCGCGAATCAGCTCTCACATTTCCTTCGGCAAAACTGCCCTACACTCTGCAGGTCGTGGGGACAAGAGGGCTTAAGGCTGCAGCACCCATCAACATGCCCCTATTTGGCCCGACATCGCGAAAAGCTATCGCTTCCTCCGCCAGACTGGCAGGCCTGGAAACAGCCCTCACAAGCGCCAATGCCAGCGACAGAGGCTCCGATTCACCATAAGCCTGAACAGATCTCAGGTCACCATGACGACTGTCCTAGCGACAGGACAAGCACAAGTGGCCTCCGAACCTGCGGAAGGCTGTCTGGTCTCTACTCCCCTTCCTTTTAAGCTCTGGAGGCATACCGGCTTGGCAAGACTCGTCAGCGTTTGGTATGAAAATCATGTTGGACTGGGAAATTGCACAGACAGAAGTGACACCAGCCATGCTGCTATCTCAGAGCTGAGCTG